AGTCAAACGAACTATTTTCAACGTTTCTGGAACGTTTACGATCGTTCTATAATCGAACCAATATTCGAATTTTATGTTCGAATTTAATTCGAACAAATTCGAACAAAACATTCGAAATAGAAAGCCGCTTTCAACCACTTTCAAGCCCATATCTCCCGCACCCTTATAGCTATCGAGACGCAACTACCCAGGTGCACGAATGGAGACTTGGGGCTACTACCACATACAAATACCATTTACGTGCGATGTGTAGTTTTGGCGGAAAAGTGAAATATAGGGACACACACGTCCATTTATATATATATATATATATATATATATATATATAGATATAAGCTACCGAGAAATACATTTTTTTTTTTTTTACTCTTTTTGCCCTGCGGACACTAAGATGGCTTCTTTTTGCAAGCCCATTATGGATTCGGCCAAGCCGACCGGGTGGTAAGGGACGGGGCCCGACATATCCGAACGGATTACCTTCCCGAAAAATTCTTGGGGATTATTCGATTCCGGGTTCCCCAGAGCAGTAGGCTGGCACCTTGAACGCTCGGTCATCCGGCCGTCTAACCGAGAAAGACTGAAATGACTTTGGTGTTATAAGTATTTTTCAATTTTTCAACCATTTAATCGAGTTACAAAATCATTTCCTTCAAGAAATCTATAGTTATGCGTTAAGTTTTACATTTTTTTTTCTCTGAATTAAAATTATAGTAAATCTTTGTAAATAAAAAGTTATATAAAATTGTCATTTTTTTATTTAAATTAAGCAAATAATTATAATAATTTATTCTTGTTTTGTCTCTATTCATCTAAAATATTAAGAAACGCTTCCCGGAAAGAAAAATAGAGTCGACCTTCACCAAAAATCGAACCCGGACCAGAGCCCGGACTCAAGATAAAATTATATTTTCTCGCTGACACCTGGTGAGAAAATAATTCGATTATCTATACAGTATAAGTTAAAATATAGTAAATTTGAAATATCTCGAACAATAAATTTACTTTCTTTGGTGATTAATTAATAATAAATATATTATTGAAAACATTCATTTTTTTTCTAATTGAATGAATTAAACAATTTATAAGAATTCAACTAATTAATTTTGAACAAATTCGCTTTCAGTGAAGAAAATAAAAGATTACAATAAATAATAATTTACACCCGGGATAAAAATTTTCCTAATAAAAATTTAAACAAAAAAGTAATTCTAGCGGAACAAACTTCGCAAAGAAAAAAAAAAAAAAAAAAAAATCAAATTCACACAGGAGTGGCGAGCATGCGCATAAAGTTCGATCACATCATCATTAACTCCAGAGGGCGCCATGTAATCGGTGGTAGACGAACATGGAAATGACGTTTACGGATTTTTAATAATTAAAACTATGTAAAACTTTGTTTATTTTCGGTGACCGGATGTTTAAAGTCTATCAAAAGGTAAGGCCGGCTTCGTATAAACTCTAATCGCTAACGAAAACGGGGAAAAAAATTGTAACATAAGAAAAACTTCATTGATTTTATTTTTTAAATGTATAAAATGTTGATAATACTGTGTATTAATTGGAAGTTTTAAAGTGGTAAAAGATGACACGGATGTAATTATGCTCGTAAGGTCGGGTTAATTTGTTCGATAGTTATTGGTGCGTATCGCAGTTTTCGTAGCATTTAACGATTAGAAGGGGAGCACCAGAATCCATCCCTTCACATTGGTAATTTTGTTATCACTCTTCATTTATTATATCAACAACTTTCATCTTGATACGCTGACCATCGTTAGGGTGTGATCGGTTTACAGGAAGATGATATTGTCTGCATTTCCGTTCTTTTTACTCGTCACATAAACCCACATATAATAATTTATATATATTTTAAATCTTTTAAATGTTTAANGAAAAAAAAAAAAAAAAAAATCAAATTCACACAGGAGTGGCGAGCATGCGCATAAAGTTCGATCACATCATCATTAACTCCAGAGGGCGCCATGTAATCGGTGGTAGACGAACATGGAAATGACGTTTACGGATTTTTAATAATTAAAACTATGTAAAACTTTGTTTATTTTCGGTGACCGGATGTTTAAAGTCTATCAAAAGGTAAGGCCGGCTTCGTATAAACTCTAATCGCTAACGAAAACGGGGAAAAAAATTGTAACATAAGAAAAACTTCATTGATTTTATTTTTTAAATGTATAAAATGTTGATAATACTGTGTATTAATTGGAAGTTTTAAAGTGGTAAAAGATGACACGGATGTAATTATGCTCGTAAGGTCGGGTTAATTTGTTCGATAGTTATTGGTGCGTATCGCAGTTTTCGTAGCATTTAACGATTAGAAGGGGAGCACCAGAATCCATCCCTTCACATTGGTAATTTTGTTATCACTCTTCATTTATTATATCAACAACTTTCATCTTGATACGCTGACCATCGTTAGGGTGTGATCGGTTTACAGGAAGATGATATTGTCTGCATTTCCGTTCTTTTTACTCGTCACATAAACCCACATATAATAATTTATATATATTTTAAATCTTTTAAATGTTTACTTTGACACAACCTCATTTATTTAAATAAGAAACAAATTAAATATATATTTTTTTCTACATGTTTGTTATTCAAATATCTTTTAGAATCATACAGAAGTTTATATTGCTTACATGTTAATGTAATTTAAGATTGTATATGGATATATACTCTGACTGGTACTTGAATTATAAATGATTGATTGATCAGCTATTCAATATAATATGTTAAAGTTCAAAATATAGATATAAAAACTTTCACATTTGGATGTTTGCCATTATCTATTTCATTTCGTTACATGGTGGAATTCTGACTTAGCAGATTTATTTTATTTTGTTTTTTAGATATTTAAAATTTTTTTGGAAAATAAAAGTTAGAATAAAATAGAAAATCATTTAGTAACATCATACAATTATTTTTGAATATTTATGTTTTTATAATTGGGCACTGTGTTTTGAAAAATTGGTTGAATTATTTACATTAAAATCAGTTGCAGTTTTTAAAGCCAAAAGAACTGCCAAATTATTGGACTATAATATGGCTATGCAATTAATTAAATACTAAATAATTTGTCTACAGTTAATCAGTTTTTGAGTTGATGTTTATATATAATTTCAAGTTTTATTTCACAATCATAATTAATCTTGTAATTTTTATTTATCACTGATAATTTTAAAACAATCAGCTTTTCTGGAATTGATTTATATTTAGAATATAGTTCAGGCTTTGGTTTTTATTATGTGTAGATATGCATATAAGTTATATGTATAGTACAGTATACAATATATATCATGCTAAATGAAATTCAATCTAACAAAAATTTATGTAGATTATGTCTGTTCAAAACTTTCTTCATATTTGGAATGTTTAATTCATTATTAAAGATTTGTGTTTAACAGAAGAAATTACAATAGTCTATGTTGTTGTTGGTAATTAATTTTGTAGGTCAGTTTTTAAAACTAATTCTTTTTCATTGAAATAAAAATATCTTATTATTTAAATTTTTATACTTTTAAAAAAGAATGAGATGGCATGTAATGTTTTGAACATGTAAAAACAGATATGAAATAAATGTCTAATGTTTTATTTTAAAGGTTATGCAATTTTTATTGAGATTAGGATAAAATCAATTTTTTTTAGCATATTTTTGCCAAAAAACTTTAGCATTTTTTTATGAATAAATTTAATTAAATTGTATTGTTTAATATTTTAAGTTTTTATTTTAAACAAAATTGCTGATCTTTTCTGTTATTTGTTTGGTAATTTTAATTAAATATGTTTAGACATGTTATTTGTTATGAATATTATATTTTTTTTTGTTATTATTTTGATCTTTCAGATTATTAATACTTTAATTTCTTGTAATTTATTTATCTGTTTCATCCTTGTAATATATTCTAATATGATACCAGATATCAAGTTTTTACTTGATTATCAACAAAAGGCTATAAATAAAATTTTAATGTCTTTAATAAGTTCAAAGCACAAGTATTTTTCTTTTGGAATAACATATTAGAGATAAGAAATTCAGCAATAAAAGTCTCTGATTTATTATTAAAATCTCTTATAATGATCAATTGTTTTTGAAGATGATTTATATTGAAGATATTAAAGTAATTATCATATTTAAAGAATAAAAAACTGTGACTTCTTTATAAACTTGCTTTTTTTTCATTTTTATTATTACATAGTTTGTGTTTTTGCTTTAATATATTACAGTAGAGTCTTGAAAACTCAGTCTAATGTAGACCGAAGGGTGGCTGAGTTTGTGAAAATGCCGGGTTATCGGGAATGGGGTTTAAAAGAATATGTATGAGTGTTTCCTCAGAAAGTACTGTACTATACTTTATGTATTGTTCACTTGAGAATACAACAGAGAATAAACTGCCCAAATACCCTTAAACAAAGGAAAAGTATGTCCTTTATGAAGGCATAGAGCCTTTACTACATGAAAATGAAAATTAATGAATACACTGTGTACAGTAATTTACCTGATAAGACAGACCTCAGAAAAATACTTTATGAGGCATAAAGCTGTCTATAATGAAAATTAATTAACTAAGGATTTTTTTGCCCTGCCAGGGTGTGGCTGAGTTATCCGGACTGCCGGGTTATTGAGTGCCGAGTTTTCGAGACTCTACTGTACTAAGAAATTTTTAATAGTATTATACTTCTTACAGAAAATGATATTGATCATTTGTGCTTATATAAATTTGGCAGTCTTTCAAAATAAATTTATTTCAATAAAAATACATAAAACTACAATGCAGGAATGAAAAGGAAGTAAGAATATAATGCTTAAGAAAGGATTCTTTAGTTTTCATTAAAAATTACATTTTATTTGATTAAGCATATTAGATTTAAGCAGACTACAAACTGAAAGTTGTCTGCTTACAATTTTATGTGATGGTGCTGAGATATGTTCATTTTGAGTTTATATTAGATTAAAATCTATTCTCATTTACTGTTAGACAATGAATTCTTACTCAAATTTTCTAAGAAGTTTGTCTTAAGTTCTGTACAATAATATATATAGTGATAAAGAAGTTCAAGAGGTGTTTAGTGCTGTGAAGATGTTTTATAATGAAACATTCTTATAATCATAATTACTTACTAATGATCGTCTTTCCTTAGTTTATTTTTAAACATTTTTAGTTTGATTACAATTATCCCTAGTGTTAATGATGGTGAATGTATGACTGTTATTGTAAACAGTTTCAATATGTTTAATTTAAACATAATTAAAATTAAACATTTTTTTCTTTTTATTTACATTAAGTTTTAAGATTTTTTTTAGATTTTTCTATCAGTTAATAAAATTAATTAATTAATATAAAATTATCAGATTTTAGTACATCTTACAAATTATAATCTGATAGAAATTATAATCAAATATTTAATTTAAGATTTAAATTTTTAATAAAATATCAAATATATATAAATGATTTCTAATTATTGATAAACATATCTAATGATAAGTCTATATCAATTTTTGTCTTCTAAATATCGTAGTACAAACACTCGAACACTAGGCAATTTTTCATCTAAGTTTGTTTAGTTTAGTTTAGTTCTATATCAATTATTTTATCTTGGTGTTACAAGACATTGCTTAATTAACATAAAAGATAATGTATTCATTTTGTCTAAAAAATTAGTTTGTCCTTTTAGTTTTATTACTTTTAAAATATTATCTATTTTAAGTTTCAGAAGCCCAAATTTTAAATGTTATTTATACAAGTACTTTCATTTCAGTGGAATGCTAATCAGATTTTTACTCTTCACATTGAAGAGTTTTTGTAAACTTATCAAACTTATCCTTATTAACATTTTTATTCAAATTCTCTATATATATTATTATTATTATTAAATGTAAAAATCTAAAGAAAATACAGTATGAAGATGTCAATAAATTAATATGCTTGTTTGCTTGCTTCCTTCTATCAAAGGCTTGCAGCTGATAATGATATTCTTCCATGAGAATATCTGATAGTCTTTAGCTTCTTCCAGTTCATTGGATAATATTGTCTTGCCATCGAATTCTTGATCTTTTTCTGGTTCTAGTGCCTTCAACTTTTCCTCAGGTTACCTCTCATGATATCCAAGTGTTTTTTTATTAGATGCCCAGTAAATGCAACTTTTCTTCTAATAATGCCCACTAAAAATTCTCTTTTTGTATTTGTTTTCCTTAAAACTTCCTTGTTTATTATTTTCTCTGTTCAACTGTTTCTCCTCATCTTCATGTTTATTGTTTGAAACTTATATAAAATTAAATATATAGATAAATAGCAAAAATTATAAAACGGTAAAGCAAAGAAATAAAAATAGTAAAATTAGAAATATCTATTAATAGATATATACTAGGCAGAAATGTTTTTTTACAATTGAATTTTACAATACAATTTGAATTTTATTATCATCATGTAATAGGTGAGAGGTCAATAATATTAACTGTCCTTGATGTTTTAAATTTAAAATTTAGAATATGAATTATATATTTTTGCTTGCTTTCATATGGCTTTTAGGATATTACTTCTAACAGGTTTTTAAAATTTTATCATTATCATTAAATGATCATCACTTTTGAAATTTAAATACAAATTTTTCTAACATAAATGACAATTAAAATTTAATAAAATAATTACTTAAATAATAATAAAATTTATTAAAATAATAATAATATTTTTAGATAATACATTTATAAAAATTATATAAGTAATAACAAAATAAAGAAATTTTTAAATAAATGGATAGTATTCATTATTGAATATTTTGTTTAGTTATCATTATTTTTTTCATATGGTATAAATATATTATCAAAGTTTAGTTATAGTTATCAAATTAAATATATAATGAAAACTTGAAAAAAATTTTAACATTTCAGATGCTAGCAATGAGATTACATAAGCTGTATTTTTATTATAATTAATTGTCAATGAGTCTTATAGGAAATTTATTATACTAGAAAATAAGTTTTCCAAGATATATATATCTTGGAAAACTTATTTGGAAAACTTGAAACTAAACATTTATATCTGTAATTATAATAAATTACAGCTATAAATGTTAGATTATTTCAGTAAGTTATTGTATTTATCAATATATTTTCTGTACATTAGATTGGTTTTAGCTTATATGAACAAGTATATATTTTTTTTAATATTCTCTTTATGAAATAATATTTTATAATTCTATTCAAATATAACAATAAAATTCATAACAGACATACAGACAAATATTTGATGTAATGTACTGTATATATCTGTATTATATTATGTACAGTATTGTGCATGTATGCATATTTTATATTGTAATATACAAATCTATACATTTTTATTTTTTGTATTTAATAAATATAGATACACTAATAATACATTAACAGCTTGTTTCATGTGTTACATTTAGAAAATTTTTTTTTCATATTCGATGGTCAATGAACTCTGTGTATTTATATTTCATTTGTTCATTCTCTAAATTTAGATTTTAGTCACCTAATGCCTACAATAAATCCATTTATTTAATAAAAAATAATATAATTTATTTGACAGTTAATGATTTATAATGTAATATTAACATTGATTATTTACAAACTAATGAATAGCAAATAATTTTTTGTCTTTTTTATATATTTCATTATAAATGATTCAATTATTTTAAATGTAATTAGCAGTTTACTTTTGTTAACTTTATTATTATTTATATATTTATCTTATAATGTGTTGTATATATTATATATTACAGAATATATTCATTATATTTTATAGTGGTAATTTTTATATTATAAATTTTATATAAGTATAATGCAGAAATGACTTAATGTAAGATGTAATATTTAGCCTAGAATTAGAAAACTAGGAGAGAAAGTTAATTGTTTGAAGATTAATTGATTTATTCTGTAAATTCAATAACTGATTAAAAAATTGTATTGAAGATTTATCCCTGTTAAAAGTCTGATTTAACAATTTATAAATTTATAAAACAGGTAATGCAAATTAGGAAAAGATTTTTCTAAATTAAAATAATTAGACTAAAAGGAAGTAAAATTGTACTTTTTAAAGAAAATTTAGAATTAGAAACACTAGACTGAATTAGTTAGACAGAAAATTTTTTCTAATTTTACTTATGTTTAATTAAATATTAAGTACACTATTAAGACTGCCAGGTGCATGGAAGACAAGCCTTATGCTATATGTGCAAAAAGTAATAGCAAAAAATATACATTTGTATTAACATAGTCTTATTCTATCTCTAAAAATTTCTCCACTAAATTCCAAAATTGTTTTCAGAATAAATACATAATTAACTGCTGAATGAACAAGAATGTTGATAAGATAGAATATAAAAATTACTTTATCATATTAATTTTTAGAATAATTTTAAGATGACTCAAAAAATTCAAAATTTTCTAGAATTATTTAACACTTAAAAATTAATTTTTTATAATAATAAGTAATGCCTGACAACTGCATTTAATTACATAAATTTTATTAATAGATTGTTTTCTCAAATTATTCATTAGTTTGTTTTCTCTTTTAAGGTTAAAATTAAATCAAGATGTTCCGTTGGAAAAATAAAGAAGAAAAGAAAAGAAAGGACAAAAAAGATAGGAGACAGGGAAAAAGTAAAGATGAAGAATATGCTCAGGATGATATAAAACAATTTGATGATTCTTTGCATTCTGTTTCTTTAGTTAATAGAACTTTTGATGAAGATACTGTAGAAAAACATAGTGATAGCAGTGAATATAGCCTCAGTTCTGCAGCAAGATCTGATTCAAGCCCTTCTGCAAGCAGTTTAACAAATTTAGATAGTAAACCTGCAAGTCCAACAAAAAAACCCCCACCAGTTCCTAAAAAACCATTGATTAGAAAAATTGGCAATGAACAAAATATTTACATTTCTCGCCAGACTTCGGGGCCAAATAGCTTAACTAATGAAGTTATGTCAATTTTAGAAAAGATAAATCCAACTCCACCTAAACCTCCTTCTCAAAGACCACCTCCTCCACCAGCACCTCCTGTAAATTTACAAAAAGCAAATTGTTCAAATTCATTATATTATCAATCATTTCCAGGTGAACAAGTTGGTTGTAATGTCCATTGGAAAGCTTATAATACTGATTTAAAGTTGCCTACAATTAATCTTCCAAAACCTCCATCTGTTAGAACATTGGTTATACGTCGTCAAACTACAGGTGATTTTGGCTTTTCATTGCGGAGAGCTATCATAACCGATCGGTCGGATGATGGAAGCGAATGTCGGCAGACTATAGTTTTTGCTGAGCCCAGTACATTAGGCAAAGGAAATGAAACGGGCTTATTACCTGGTGATCGGTTACTTGAAGTAAATAATATAAATGTAGAAAATAAATCAAGAGAAGAAATAATTGAACTTATAAAATCATCAAATGACAGTGTGACACTTAAAGTTCAACCAATATTAGAACTCAGTGAATTAACTAGCAGGTTAGGCAGTGAATGGTTAAATTCAGGAGAAAATGCATGGCAAACAAGAGCATTGTCACGCAGCGGAAGTCGGAAATGTAAATTACTAGTAAGGTTTATTTTTTCAAGATTTAAAACAAATTTTTATTGAAATATTTTAGATTCTATTTTAAAAGAAATTTTTGAATTTTTGAAACTTTTTTTAGATTAACATTAATAAGATTTTATTTATATAATTTTGTATACAAGCATAGATAACTATAGATAAATAATAATGAAAATTTCTTGTTTGATCTAAAAAAAGGTTTTTATGTTAAACAAAACTAGTTTTTGTTTAACCTAAAACCTACAGAAATCCTGTTATCTTAGTTATTATTTGACTGTAATTTAATCTAAAATCACATACTGCTTTTTATTATTTAGTAAAGTATTTCATAAAGTTTATTAGGAGAAAAATGTTACGGTAAAAATATTTTATAACAGACATGGTTTAAAAATTAATAAAACAAAAATTATTGCATTTTTTAAAAATTTTAAATTATGTAGCTATGTATCTTTGACTATTAGTTTTGGATTTATTATGCCACAATTTTTAGGAATCTTGACTTGGGCTTTTCTCTCTTTATTTTGAATTTATTAAAAATAAAGAGAAAAAAGCCCAAGTCAAGAATAAATGTGGTGTAATAAGTCCAAAACTAATTGGTAAAGATACGTAGCTATATAAGAATAAAATATAAAGAAAAAAGGACAATCCATAATAATAGATATAAATAGGTTAGAAAATTGCATATTTTAAATTAAGATTTTAAAAATTTTATATAATATTAAGAAATTAAGTTTATAAAATTCTTCAAGAACAGATTTGTAATGTGTTTACATTTAATTCTAGAAATGCTATAAAATCTGATGTAACTTTATAATCAGCTTGCTAAAGCAACAATATTTCATTATTACAATTACAAAATAAAAAGTAAATAAATATATTGAATACATTTGAATTATCCATTTATGTGTACTATATTTCATTGATGTCATTCCAAGTAAAGTTTGGATTAAATTATATTATCAATAATAATACATTTAAACTGATATATATATATAATGATTGTGTTTAATTGGATTTGTCTGATGCTGTTATGGAACCAATCTTTGATCTACTGAAGATGAAGTATTATTATTATATATTTAATATATTAAAGTTTTTATTATTTTTTAATTAAAAAAAAAACTTCCTATTTTATGACTATATGATAAAGAAACTGTTGCCAAAACATCTAAATTTGTAATACATTGTTTTGGTGCATAAATAAATGAAAAATTTTTATAGTAATACAAAATTTTAATGACAAACTTTATGTATCATTTTTACAATATGAATCTCAATAATTAATCTATTAGATGATTTAAAATTATAAAAGAATATTAAGTTATATTTTTTTNAAAAAATAATTAAATTTACTTTTAAAAATTAGAAACTAGTTGAAAAATTAAATTTCTGTAATATATTTTAAGTAATCATAGTATAGTGATCAGTAATTTCCTCTTAAGTTATATTCTGAATTATTTTGGAAATATAACTGTACTTTGTTTAAGAATAAGCCATTAAACCTCTTAATTTTATCTTGACTACATATATTACAGCACAATCTTGTTTTATGCAGGGATTCTGTATCAACAGGTATCATGTAAAATGGAAATTCCATATAAATTTGTGGTCCATCCCAAGTAGTACCAGATAATTATCTAGATATTTATGCAACCATTTGCAATTAACAGTAAAAGTTAAAATGTGTTTAAAACATTTTACTTATGTTTTTACATTAATGAATAATATTTTAGTCTGATGTTTCTGAATATACAGAACAATATTTTATTTTATTGTATGGATTATACCAGTTGAGAGAAATACACACAAATCAAGATATTTACAACACTAAATAGCATTCAGTAGTTCTGTGTTTGGAATATCAGAATCTAGAAGACAGTCTGTTGATTTTAGATTTAGTATTAATTAATTAATTAACTGAACTTAAATGGTTAGGTTAATTAGTGCCTCTAAATCTGTGAAATACAGATCTGTATATAAAAATCCTGTATAAACAATATATATTTGGCTTATAACAATATCTGAAAATTCTATCTTTATCTCAAAACAGATCTTTTAATTATCAAAAAACTTTATCTTTATCTTTTCATTGAAGATGTTCACAAACAAATGTTTGAATAGTTTGATTAAACTTACACAATTTAGAAACTAAGCTTTTTGTTTAGTTTCTAAATTGTGTAAGTTTACATCTGTAAAAATTTATTTTTAATCTTAAGTAGGCCTATGAAATTTTAAAATATGTTTGTTGCTTTAAAGTTGACTGATGAAATTCAAAATTGTTTAAAAAATACAGTATAGATTTCTAAATTAAGGATAAATGGTTTGTCATTCTTAAAATTTATCTACAATTTAATTTTTGTATAGTGAATCAAATAAATATAGCTATGTATAGAAATTATCTATAGTTTTTTTCATTAGTTTGAATAAATTGTGAAATACAAGGGTTACTCTGGAATAATATTTTTAGTTTGTTTTTGGAAAACCTACAGCTAATAAAATTCATATATATCACCAGTTGGATCATTATTGACTGATTTTTATTCTTCTACTTAATCTTCTACCCTAGTTAAAAACTTGAGAAATTGTATGGAACAGGGAGGAGATTCCTCTCTGTTCCAGACATTTTCTCAAGCTTTTAACAAAACACTATGCTCTTGTAAAAGTTGTTATCAGTTGATTAAACCGTTTCCTAATAGTTATTTTCACTTGATCATTGTTGTAGATGTGTTATCCATGAAGTTTATTCTTGATCAAATCATTAATTTATAATTATTAAAATTATCACAACATGACAGCTTAACTGCCTTCCTCTAGTCAAATTACTTTATGTATAATTATTAAAATAGCTTTATAATAACCCAATATGGCAGATTGTTTGACATCAAACCAAAGTTTAATGGAGCTAGGTCAGTTTCTCTTTGATCTTCCATTATTGCTCTGCAAGGGCATATGACCTTTGCTTATCTTTCAAACTCTTTCCTCCTTCGCTAACATTCCTAACATGGTTAACCCAATGCTTAATAATTTTGATATTGATTGTGTCATTTCTGTAAAATTTCTGTAAATACTGGTGAACTTCAACTTCCACAATTCTCTCACTATTCAGGAACTCTCACACAATGCCATTTCATACATGTCAATGTCATCCTAATTTCAGCAATTGACTATCTCAGCACTATTTGATGGACAGAAATGGAACTATCAAGATATAAGTAGGAAGCCTCAAATATCCTCCTGATATTAGCTTCATTTGTGTAGTCTTCCTTGTCAGAATAAAAATTGAAAGCATTACTTTCAGAGCATTTTATAAAATGAAATAACTTTATTAGACAAATTTATAACTTTGAAAATTAAATAGCCTTTTATTATCTTACATATTTATATTTATAATATATTTAATAATAAAATATAAAATAATTAGTAAAAATTATATTTTTAACTTTTTGAAAATAAATTTATTTTTATCATCTAATTTTTATTTCCTTTTCTATTTTTACAGTTAGATATTATTTAAAAATTTATAAGATGTAATGCACCAATCATTTAAATTTAATCAAATTTGATCAAACAATAGAACAATGCTTATAAAAGCTTAATTGATGGAGAGGATGGAAAAAAGATTAGATAATCATTCATAGATTTTATGTTAATAAAATATTTTTTTTCTAATATAATTTAATATTTATTTATTTTTAAATATTATTTTAAGCAAAAGTTTTAAACTTTTATCTAGAATTGAATTAATTAATAATTGCAAACTTCATGTATTGATTTTGTGCATGTAAACATTGTAGTAACATCTATTAACTTTTACTAGATTTTAACATTGCTATTCTCATTGTTAAATTTTTACTTTTAAACAATTTTTCTCATATACGAGGGGAGACCCAAAAAAACCAGATTTTTTTATATAAAAACTTTATTTATTAACTTTTTTATAAAATTTTTTCAGTCACTTTCAAAGTACTCTCCATTAGATGCGATGCACTTGTGAAGTCTTTTTTCTCACTGTTTGAAGCATCTCTGGAACTCTTCAATCTTGATATCATCCAGTGCTCTTAGCGAAGCTGTTTTTACCACCTCCACATCATCAAAACACTTTCCTTTTAGATTTTTCTTCATTCTTAGAAACAGAAAAAGTTGCACGGGGCTAGGTCTGGTGAATATGGAGGGTGGGAACGACAGTCCATCCCCAAGAGGCCAAACAGTGGGTCACTCGTAAGGCTGTGTGTGTTGGGGCATTGTCATGATGAAGGAACCACTCACCTGATTGCCAAAGTTCTGGACGTTTCCTTAGCAAATCCTCTCACAGACATCTTAACATTTTTTTGGCGGATTTTTTCAACGTTTTCATCATTTCAAAATGTTGAAGGACGCCCAGAACTTTGCAGGCGGAACAAAATAACAGTAAGAGAAACACAACACCGCGCTCAAACTGACACTGTTTGCACAGCTGTTTCGTGAAGATCTCTACTAACCCCATGTAACGGGAGAACTCTTTACTATGTCTATGAATGGCAGCACGCTTTCAGTCCAGTGTTTTTTTTTTTTTTTTTTGGGTCCCCCTCGTAAATTAATGTAAAATATGATAATGCATTCCATGCCGAAAAAATTCTTAATAATTTAATATACAGCAAGTCTTTATTTAAAGTTGTATAATTATAATGTTGTTGAGGAAAGATAAAAGTACATTAGATGACAACATCTCAAAGCCCACGTAGTATACAATAAATCACCAAACAATCGCCTAAATATCGGGCTATAATAAGGCTAATTAAATGATTGGTATAAATTAATTTGACACTAGAGGTAGACGTTAGGCACCATCTCTTAAGTAAATTAATAATTAGAATTAAATAAATAAATTATTAAATAAATTTAGAACCTTTTGGAAAAAAGAACTGGCCCGAGATGGGGCTTGAACCCGCAACCTCCACTTGCTGTGCGCCGTCTGGACCCCGAGCTCCGCTTGCCAGTTACGCCACCCGGACCCCAAGCGAGTC